ACCTTTGCATAATTATCTTGTTTACTTTTATTGCTTTACATTTGACTCTCTTGTTTGGGTTTGAATCCTCCACCCGGATTTGGGAAACATTCATAGGTAAATAGCAATACGTTATGGAAACGATGCGGGGTATACCGACACGGTTGAAGCAATAGCTATATTAGTGCGACATATTTGTGAGTACCGGTAGCCTTTGAGTCAATCAAAGAGAATACGGGGCCGCTGAGTGATGTCATGAAGCACTAATGAACTCTTAGAACCTTACTTGACCATCTTGGCCTTTTTTAGGAGTAGTGAGATGACCGGCTTTGGTGCAGTTCGAAGTTAGTAGATACTCGATACTACACTCATTGAGGGTTGTTTTCTTGGAATATTTTGGTCGTCAGTTAAGTGGCTAAACCAAAACAATGAACACAGAAAATAATCCAGTGATATTGAGCTCCTTAGAACCCGGTTACTATTTATAGGACAGGTTGAGCCAACTAACTTCAAGAGGGTACTTACCTATGAAACCTCATGCAAGCCTGAAACTAGGAACTTGTGTGACTTGTTTGTACATGTGCTTGTGCATACATCATGAACATCATAAAGCATCATATGCATCCACTAACCATTTCAAGGGTTTGGATCTTCATCTTTGTTCTTGTTTTGCAGGTCATGGAATCTCTTCGCAGGAAAACAATTCAAGTCAACCTTGTGAGAATCCCTCCTCAACTCAAGGAGCTTACTTCCAAGATTCCAGAAAATTCTCTTTTCAGTGAAAGACATGGTAGACTTCTCAACTTGGTCAACTCCAACATTGAAGAAGACATGGTGAAAGTCCTCTTTCCACTAGGCCAACGCGCTTCATTTGTTAATGTGTTAAGAATAAAACATAATATTGGAAAACATGTTAATATGCCAGAATTAAAAAAGAAGCGCGCGAATATTTGAATGGGGCAACCAGATGGGGACACGTTGTCGTCCCTGTCCTCAGGTTTGCACAGAAATTACCTGCAAATTTAGATCCGCAGCTAAAAGTGTAGGTCGTTTCAAAAACCCATCTCATGCCATATAAACTCCATCCAAGGCCATGGTTGTGCTTGTCTTTCTCCTCCGGTCATGCCTATGTCCATCAATAGGTCTAATTTTACCTGTAACAAAAACCCCTAAAAAAAACCTAGGAAACCCTACAATGGCGTTTTGCACCATAGAGCAGATAAACACAATCAAATAATATGGAAAGCTTGGAAATTATCTAGTGATTGCAAATATACCATTGGTTTCTTGTAATGATGCATAGATTTTGAAACACGAAATCAAACTCAGAGGGAGGCCGCGTATCACTTACAGTGCGTTAGAGAGCGTGTGAGAGCTTGCTAGGGGTTGGTTCTGACTCAGTGAACCTCCAGCAATTGATTGATGTTGTGTTTCGCTTCTGAAAATGCCTCCAAGGATGATTTCAGTTTCACACTTTTTGTCAATTTTTCAAGTTTGGTTCTTGGTGTTCTTACAGCCTCTCGGTCTCAAATTGGTGTGCCATGGCTTGTATATGTATGTTGTAATGTATTAGGTCAACAAATTGGTCTTGAATCTTTGCACATCAATGCTTTGAGATTGGATTTGATCCTCCATTGAAAACTTGCTTAATTTGCCAAAAATCCAATCTTTTTGCACATGGAATGCTTGATACGAGTTTGATCATGACATTTATGATGATTAGGTCCCGAAGATAGAAGAAGATCTCATGTAATCAAGTTTTGGGATTTTATTTGATTTAAATTGATTTAAAATGGAATAATTTAATAAAAAATCAAATCAAATAATAAAATTGATAAATGGACACAAGGCTGAAGCTAGGACACGTGTGCAATGTGGCAAGTCCAAATCAAGTGGAAAAGAATGGGCCCATTTGACAAAATTTGAAGTTTTGGGGATAATTGACTTTTGGCAATTTTACAAAAATTACCAACTTCAACAATGCATAACTTCTTCAATTTTGAACTTTTGGAAGTGTTCTTGGACTTTTTAGAAAGCTTGAGATGTCCTATAACCAACCCTTTTGGTCTAATCTAATTTTGATATTCCATACTCAAGTTATAAGCTTTGGGAAAAAAGGTGTTTTTGTTGACTTTCAAAAATGACCTATAATGTCCAAATTTATAACTTTTTGTGAGTGCATTTTCTGGTCTTGGGTTATGAAGATGGATTGTAGGAAATTTAATCCTCTTCAAAATGAGATTTGGATGGTTCATTTCTCATAAAGTATGAGAAAGTTATGATTGGTCAAAGTTGAGTTGACTTTTCCTGCAAAACCCTAATTTAGCAACTTTTGAGTCTTGATGAATTTTGAGCAATCCTTGATGAATCATGATCAACCCTTGATCCAATGATGAAATATCCTTAAAAATGAGAATGTTGACAAAAAATATTGAAGTTTGACTGTTTATAGGTCACAGTTGGCTTTTGCCCTAGCACAATCGATTTTTAGACCCTTTGAGCAATTGACTGAGCAAACTTCCTCTGCAAGGCTTGAAACTTGGCATGGATGATCTTGAGAACGTATTAGGACATTGGGGAGAACTTGAGGTCATTTGGACTCAAGGATATTGATGCAACACAAAACCCTAGTTTGAGGTTGACTGCCTTAGGAGATAGCTTGACTGTCCAACTCTTGAGCAATCTTGAACCACTTGGAGATTTTTCTTGCCATGTTTTGAGAGATATGAGAGGGAAAATTTTGGGGTACAACACTAACCATCATGGAATAAGGCATACCATATTGATAAGGGACACATGATGACCCTGGACCCCCCTGGAAAAAGTGGTCGATTTGGGTCAAATGGCGATACCCTATACCTAGGTTCTACCGTTATGACTGTTGTCACTGAACCATAATCAGCAGTCAATCTCACGAGAGATAAAACTGTCGCGATTTGAGTTGTGGCACTCACTGGTATGACATCCACATTTTGTGTAGAAATTTGTGTATGTGCAGTGTTTGTGTTAGAGCGTGACATTTTAGACTTTGTAAAATGTTTACCACTTCTTAAATTCACAGAGACACACACACACACACACAATAAACTATAAGAAACTTTGTAAAACCAAACACCAATACGTAATTATTAGCCTTGTTCCACCGGGCGTACCAATTTGTTTACCTCTGATTTTGGTAAACAATGTTGGTCTCTTAACAAAAGTTTATTAGCGAGATCGACCAGAGAATCTCAGTATAGTGCTCTAGTTTTTGAGTGTTTTCACAAAGTGTATTAAAAAAAGATCCATTCGACTGGTGCCAAACGAGTTGATAAATAATAAAGCAAGACTCGTAAAATAAAACGGAAAGGGTTTTAAACTGTAAACATAAATGTCATAATATCAAAATAGTTGAAAATGAGTTAATTTAAACATACATTGCCCTAGCTTGACTCATTTCGCTTGTTCATTTGAGTACTCTGAGTGACTAGCGTATATGAATGTGAAAGTTTGAACCTCTAACACTATGCACTAAGTGCTTTATTTATAATACACAAAAATAACTACTTTCTATCGACTTTCACCGCTTTGTACGCCACGTGTATCTTGTAAATCCTCTCCATGATCTCACGTTCTCCATTCGTACTCTCGAGTCCATGTTCTCCCTGTTTCCCTTTAAAACGCTTCGCTTGCTTGATGGATCTTTTGGGCCTTTTAACGTTTTTGGGCTTAATGACTTATGAGGTCTTCCCTGGCTGACTGCTTCTGTTTTCAAGCCCAATTATTTATTTGTAGAATCTCTCTAGGTTGACTGCATCAGTAGTCGAATACTTATAGAATCTTTATGGGTCATAGGTCGACCACATCAGTAGTCGAATCACATAAATCTTCTTTATTCTAAAGAACCTTTTTGATCCTTTTCTTTTGGTTGGGTTTTGGTCCTTGTAAAAAATCCCAACCAACACCACCACATCCATCCAAACTCGCCAACCATTAAAGTCATATACACAAAGACAAAATCAAGAGCATGACACGGACCGCCACCAATAATATATTGACAACACATCTTACTATAATACCAATGATACATATGATATCTCTCATTCCCACCATAATACCCAACCAATATACAATCAAACTTCACACCATCGAAACACCCAACCATCACATATCTTTCAAACACGACAAGAACTATTGCTTCGTTTCCAAAATTATTCTTCAACCCAATTCTACCAACCACCCACCCACCTACACGTAACCTAACCAACATGACTCTACTTCGACAACATGGACACTAATCTCTTTGGAAGCACTGCAAGCTAGAATGAAATGATCGACGAGTTATATGATATAACTGTTGTCCTAAGACTCATCACATCAAACACCTCTGCATCAAGCGAATCAGAATATACCCCAAACACCTCAAATACAAATACAAGAGCGTTATTGTTTTATTAGTGGACGTTTAAGTGGAGGGGATTGTCATTAAAAATATTTCCAATTATTGTATAATTTCTTTTTTTTATTAATATAATTATAAAATATTTTTATTTTTATTTATTTTGTTAATTTTTTTTTTAAATAAATAAAAATAAATAACCACACTGAAAGATTATTCCTCTTTACAAGGATAATGCATATGCACAAAGTGCATGATATGACATAGGAGCTTGCGACTTATAACGTGATTATTTTGGTATATTTGGTGAAACATCGGTTATTTGAGGAAGTTTTTTTTTTGAAAATTGTGCTTATTTAAAAAGAAATCACATTTACGAGCATTTACCAAAATAAAAAAGACACATATTTGTGGTTTATGCATCTTCAAAATTCCCATGAAATGAAATAATTGAACCTAGCTGTTGTCGCGTCTTTGATTCGTTCGTCCTGAGAGGGTCAACAGGGACGGCCATCACCCAAACCCTCTCGACCCTTCTTCCCTCTTTCCTTCAACAAAAACCCTAACATTTCAATCCCTTCTCCATTTCCCCGATTCCCCTTTCCCCTTCCACGCTCCAATTTCAATTTCTCACTTCTTCGCCATGTCATCCGAGATCGAGGTCGTCGACGAGGTTCTTTTACGCGACCAACAATCCACTCCGTCGTCTTCCGCCGCTGAAGTCTCCGAAGATAGTCTCCGGAACGACGTTTATACTGCCGCGGCTTATGGGGATTTGGAGAAGCTACATAGATTGGTGGAGCTAGAGGGGTGTCTCGTTACCGAGCCTGATGGTTTGGGTTACTACGCGCTTCAGTGGGCGGCACTCAATAACCGAACTGCCGCTGCTCAGTACATCATTGAGGTTCTTTGATCGGTTTGTTGAATTGAGTTTTGCTTTGTTTCTTTTTTAAGCTTTTCTTCCATTGCGCGCTACTACTTTCTTAATTAATAGTTTTATAATTGCTGTTTAAAAAGGATACTGAAAAAGAATTGATGATTCTTGTTGTTTGTAGTTTGATTTTGTGTTGGTAGCTTGGTTCTGCTTGTTGATCATGTTTATGTTATGTTAATGGAAATTTAATATATTATTTATTTTTGTTTCAATTCGATGTTCTTGTGTATGTTTCATTTTTGAAATTTGAATGATATATTAAGTATGGAAATTTATTTGCTATCTTTATGTAATGTACAGAGTTGGTTGGTGGTTTTTGGTATTAATTTGTTTCGTGTTGGTCTTGATTGGCAGCATGGCGGAGATATAAATGCAACAGATCATACTGGTCAGACAGCCTTGCATTGGAGTGCGGTACGGGGTGCTATTCAGGTTGCAGAGCTTTTACTTCAAGAGGGCGCACGAGTGAATTCAGCTGACATGAATGGGTATCAGGTTTGTTTGATGTCATACTGTTTTTGTTTATATTTATATTTATTCAGGAGATCAGTGGGGTGTGGAATTTCAATTATGTTATGTATCATTCAAATTAGGTACTCCATATCTGGTTACTTATGCCAAGTTTTAGTCTCAATCCTCCCACCTCAAGCAGGAGTGGGGGATAATAAATGTCAATTTAACTAATTTTAATTAACACGAATGCAGACAACACATGTTGCTGCTCAATATGGTCAGACGGCTTTCCTTTACTATGTTGTTTCAAAATGGAATGCTGACCCTGACGTTCCTGATAATGATGGAAGAAGCCCCCTGCATTGGTAATTGATAATTTCTCAAACCAACCTTTTTTTCCTCCTAATTTATGAATGTTTTAATTTCTCTTTTTTCGTTACATTCTATTCCACATTCAAACACCCATTTTGTGAGATGATATACCAACGGATTCATTGCTCAGTATGTGTCTCTCAACAACCAATTTATGGAATCCTACTAGTGTAATTGGCTTGGTCAATGAATAAAAAAATGAAGCTAGGGATGCATTCGGCAAAGTTTTAGTGAAAATACTGTCTAGGAAGTTGGTCTCAGTTTCCCCATGTTGAAAAACATATTTGGGAACTCTTTTAAAATCAAGCAGGTCTTCAATTTTGTTGGATAATTCTTTTAATATGAAGTTTTTTCTAAAACACAGTGTAATTTCCTTGTCAGATTTGTTCATGTAATGTACCCCGTCACGAAGGATAATATTCAATTTAGTTTGCCAAGTGGCACATGGAATACATGATTTAAATTTTGTTTGTAGCAATGCTCATTATACTTATAAGACAAACAATGTTGTTTGAGACTCAATGTTGGGATAACGACCTCAATGAAAAAGTAAACTCATTGTTGTAGAGATGGACCACAAGATATGTTATGATTAGGAATACATTTTTTAGAGAGAAAATTGATATAGTTCCCATTGTAGAAAAAAATGATAGAATCTTGTCTTAGGTGATATGCACATGTGTGAAGAAGACATGTAGAAGCTCCGGTAAGGAAAGTTGGGCACATAGACAGTAGCCCAAAAGAGTTATAGATGTAAAGGGAGACTAACACAACTATAGGCCAACTGTTGGGACATATTTAGAGGTTAATGATCTATTTTTGAACTTGATCACAGGGAATTAGGGCATTGTCTAATCCAAACAGCCTATCTTACCTAGTGGGGCAAGACTCGGTTGTTGTTTTTTATAACCTCATCTATTTTTGTTGTTTCTTTTTTGTTTTTCGGAGCCTGCCTGGATAATATCATTAATGTTACACTAGTTTTTCTTTTTTTTGATTGATAAATTTTGTAACATCCAGTGCTAGTTAATAACGGGTTTCTTTTGTGCTATTTATCTTGTTTTACACCTCCACACTCCCCTGGATTTGAAATTTTAAACTCTTCTGCTTAAATTAAGTGAAAGACATGCGAGTCCACTTTCAAAGTGCTTGAATCGATTATTCTCTTCTGCCTTCAATTTTAGGGCTGCTTACAAAGGTTTTGCTGATTCTATACGTCTTCTGTTATTTCTTGATGGACATCGGGGGCGTCAGGATAAAGAGGGTATGTTCTTATGCTCTACTCTTAACTCTTTATTGTGCTGAAATTATTCATACACTGGTACAAATTATGAAATGTTTTTGATGTATAAGACATTATTCTTCTATTTTCCCTGCTTTATTCAGGTTGCACTCCTCTCCATTGGGCTGCTATTCGAGGTAACTTGGAGGCCTGTACTGTGTTAGTACAGGCTGGCAAAAAGGAAGACCTGGTGATGACCGAAAATACTGGCCTTACACCAGCACAGCTTGCTTCTGATAAGAATCATAGACAAGTTGCTTTTTTCCTTGTAGGTGTTTTGTAACCAACATATTTTAATTTTCTTATTAATGCCATTTGGATGGAATTTTCCCATCCATCTTTTTGATCTTTCCGCCCCCACCCACCCAATGGTTTTGAAAATGAGACTGGCTAGCTTTTCTGAAAAGATTTGTGTTCATTGAATTTGTGGAATATGTGCTTAAATAGATTTTTCACGTGTGTTTTCTTTACGGAGAAATGTATTTCCTGTAGTAATGTGCAAAATCTACGGAGAAATGCCATTGGTATTAGTAAAAACATATATGCTTCTACAATAACGTATATTCACTTCTGGACCACTATTACAGGATTATCCTCTCCCGTTACAAGAAGATATCGTTTAGATGAGTGAGGCGTGCATGCAGTTAGTTTCTTTATGATTTTATACTAGTTAATCATATTCCATCTCTACTCTGGATTTCTTAGATGTTAAAAAAATGATTTGTCAAAGGCTCAAAGATATGCTATTAAAAGTCGTATTGCTTCTTATATCTTATTCCTTACAAAATATAAAATATATAGCCCACTATATTGACTCTGGAAAAAAAGAGTATTTACTGAAGTGAAAATGCTGAATATGAGAATATCTTTCCTTCCAAATGCTTCGCAGTTTTTACAACAAAAGGTTGTGCCCTTGTTTTGTATGACTATGGTTGTTTGTGAGGTTCTAACAAAGTAGTTACCTGGCTCTTTAAGTAAAGGCGTTACATCTGCATCTTTATTATGATTTTTCTTTTTATTGCTTCTTTACAATACCACCATTTTGCTTTGATGATTGATTATAGATCTGCCAAATATTTTCACTATATTTGGTTCATATGTTTGCCACTTATATATATATGACACTTTTCTTGCTAAATCTGTTTTGTAGGGAAATGCCCGAAGGCTGCTTGACAAACGCTTTGACGCTAACAGCCGCCTTGGAAAGATATCTAAGTTAGGACTTGCTCCTGTACTTTGGTGCATAATTTTTGTGCTATTGGTCACCTATATTCATTCAGTCATCTTGGGTATCTACTTCAGCTTCCACTTCTGAAATCAATTATGTGTTTGTGTGGGCACCTTCATGTATATTTATGCCTTTTTTCATGACCATCTGACTGTTATTTCCATCATTTCTGTCAGCAACAAATATGCCAAAGCTGACAGCTGCATCTGGGCTTTTTGCATGGTTTGGAGTGGTACTTGCTACTGTTGGATTGGTGACGTTTTATAGATGTAGCAGGTGAGTATGATGGACTTCATAACTATTCACCTTCCCATGAATATCCTCTAGGCTATTATATTATAAGGACCAGAGCTTAATTTATAAAACCGCAACATGACACTGTTTCATCTTTGTAAGGTTTTTAAGAGATTGTTTGTATCATCCAATTATGACGGGGGTAGTAATATATGATATGACATGATTTTAAAAACGGAAAAAACTTGGTGGTTTGAACCATGCAATTCTTATGACGTATTGCCAATATAAGCTTAACAAAACAATTTGTAGTTTAACTTTTGGCAATACTAATCCTCTTTTCCTTGTGATTCTGTATAGAGGAGATTGTTTCTGCGGTATTTTATTGGTTTGGGCAAAGTTGCTTCATGTGTCTGTAGGGAAATGTTCTTTCCTCATTCCGTGCAAAAGTCAACCATCTTGTCATTTTTTGATTATCCAAAATGTAGCGTTTTATTTTATATACATGTGAAGTCTAATGTGATAAACTAAGAATTACATTTTCCCTTCCACTGTTACGATAGCTAGATGCTATGCATTCATGTCTAATCTAATGTAGTAGTTATCCTTAGGATAGGTTGACTGTATGATCTGATAGGACAAGGCCCAATATGCTAGCTGACCCAATCATTGGGCCCACTACATGTTTACACCGTCTAGAAGGGTCGTAGAAGAAGTGTGAGTCAGAGTCAGTTGGGATATTCCTTGATTTTTAGGATGGTTCTGTTATAAGAGAAGGGGAGTGAAAATTCAGAGTCATTCTAAAAAGTTGTTAAAGTCAGTTAGGAGAGTTTCCTCTCTGGTTTAAGAGCCTAGCTCTAGTTAGAAGTTCATAGAACTCTGGTTTACTTCTGTTTTTCTCCCTTTTCCACCATCGTAAGAGCTTTAAGCTCAACCACGTGTAGTAATAATACACAGATGTTGATCTTCAATTTCTGGTCTCTATCATTGGTCCGTCCTGCTGGATTATTCGAGAGGAGCCAGTGCAAAAGATGAGCAATCGTGTAGATGCATTGGAGACCATGGAGGATTTGATGCGACAAGCATTGGAGGGATTCGTCACAGCAGGTTGATGGAATTTGGGAAGCTACTGAATCGTCCCATACCAGAGATATCAATTCCACCTCCAAATGATGAATTGGAGTTAGAATTGAAGATGATGGTGAAGAAAGTAGACACCCTCGTTCAATGAGGAGGATTTGATGGGGTGGATAAACCGTGGTTCAATAAAGGTTTGACTTGCAAAGCTGAGCACGGGGAACAACCAATCACAGATGTGAGGAACACTACCACTCTCTGCATCAGTGTGCAGAAAAGCAGCTCCGTCGAAGCCGTGAAAGACGAACTAGAGGTACCAGTGATCTAGGCCAAGGGGGACAAAGAAGCTCCATTAAAGTCCACTCTTTGAGGATGGTGAAGGGAATGCAACTTTATATTCCCTCGATGGCAGCGGCATTGCAACTTCTGTTGGACCAGAACATGGTAACACGTGTAAAACTTGGGAATGCCAGATTCGTCCCTAGGGAAGTGTAAGGGGCTGGAAAATCAGTTTGGAAAATTTTCCACCAGGGTTGAGGCCTTAGAGTTGGAAGGTGTTGGACATGATTTTGCGAGTGGCTTGATTGCAAGGGTTTGGCAAGGTAATCTTTGATTGGAAAGAAATAACAAATAGTTTTGATTGGTTGCGTCAAGCGACGAAGCTGCAAAGCCACGTGACAAAGGATGGAAAGGTTGAGTGGGGGAAACCATTTAGCATGGCCCTATGAGCACTTCGCAGACAAGAAAGGTCACAAGATGGGAAGGAAACAAGGAGATCGTAATTTAGGAACCTGAAAATGGAATAAAAGATCAATATCCTCATGCTACCCTTGAGGAGAAGGCTGTTCTATAGGATGTGTTAATGATAGGACACCGAGGTTCAATATTAGCTAACTGACCCTATCACTGGGCCCACTCTATATGAGCACACCTTCTAGGAAGTTGTAGAAGAAGTGTGAGTAGGAGTCAGTTGGGAATATTTCCTGATTTTTAGGAAGGTTCTGTCATTAGTGAAAGAGGGGAAAGTTGAATCATTCAAGAAAGTTGTTAGGGTCAGTTAGGAGAGTTTTCTCTCTGTTTTACGGATTCATAGAACTCTGGTTTACTTCTGTTTTTCTGGATTTCCCACCATTATAAGAGCTTTAAGCTCAACCATTTTCAGCCACAATACACAGTTGTTTACCTTCAACCATTTGCCGTAATAATCTACAGTTTTTTACCTTCAATTTCTGGTCTTTCTATCATGATCATTTACGAAACTCATTAATATGGCTGAAACCAGACCATCTAAAATCCAATGATGCTTGCTTTACTGGGTATTTTCCCCAAGTTGCTTTTTTTACACTCTAGGTGAACGTTTCTTAAGATCAGTCTTGTAAGTTGTAACTATTTGATGTGGATTGGAACTTTTTCAACAATTTCCCCCGTCATTTGTGTTCAAGTTCTCAAGATAACAAGCTTGATGGAACTTCAAGGTAGCATTGGTTTGTAATGTATGATGGTCACGATGTAATAAATATAGTGTCAACTTATCCATAGATACACATGTATATCAGCAGTTCATTCTTCAGCTGTTGATTTTTTGAATATCTAGTTACAACTGTTTCTTAATACCTGCCATATTTTTCAGCTTTATTGTTTCATTGTTTTCTTAGTCTTTCCTGATTTATTTGACAGCAAGGATCCGGGTTATATCAGAACGAATGGGCATGACACCCAGAGTACAAAGGACGATGTGAGTTTTATTCTGCTATAGCTATACCTTATTTATACCTTGATTCTCGCAGACCTACAATATTTTGATTTTATTTCCTTCTGCAGTTTTTACCTTATCAGTGTGTCAGTTTCTGTGTTTTAAATATATATTAAATGTATATGCCAATGACTTCAAATGTTCAAATTGTTTGTGGCAGGAGCCTCTTTTGAAGATTGAGATAAATAATCCTGCTTTGCTAGCTGGAAATTGGTCCCAACTTTGTGCAACGTGCAAGGTTCTTTTGCTTTCTTTTGATTGAAGCCTTATCTCCAGCAATTAGTATCACTCACACACATTATACATTTCCGTCCATCTTCTGCTTCAAATAATTTTGCAGTCAATTTTATGTTGCTTTTTCTTTAGATTGTCAGGCCTCTGCGTGCGAAACATTGTTCTACATGTGATCGTTGTGTGGAGCAATTTGACCATCATTGTCCTTGGGTATCTAATTGTATTGGCAAGGTACTTCTGGATGGATTTTTAGTTTACATGCTTTTGCATTTGAAATTTTGTGGAATATTTAAGCTTTTATTTTGTCATTGACTTTGACGGTAAAAAAAAGGTTGGCGGGCAAGGGAAATTAGTTTAGATATGCTTTTACTTCTAGGCTTTTCCCCTGTTTTCCTTTGCAAACATGCTTTATACATTGTATGAATTTCAAGTATGAAGCACGCCACAGATCAATAAATGCATTGATGCACTTTTTTAAGTGTAAGTCCTTATTTGGAGCTATATTTGCCATGGGGATTTGTACCGTGCTAACAGATTAGGTCAGTCAGTCTTGTTTGAGTGGAGATGCTGGTGACTTTTTAGTTTAATTGTTCGTTAAATAGCTATAACTAAAATATACTGTGTAAGACGACTTATTTGAATTCGTTTTTACAACAAACCATTTATGTCCAGTAAATCATTTTAGTAAGCTGGGCTAGACTATTAATTGTATCTCATCTTTTTACTAGAGTGACGAAGGTGGTTGCTAATCCTACCTCAATGCCATTTTTGTTCCATTATCCTTAATTTTTAATGGGCGGTTTTATTTTTCGGACTGATTGAAATGACTGGGTTTTCCCTTCTCAGCAGACAAAATATCCTGATGTTACACTATTTTTGCAGAAAAATAAATGGGATTTCTTTGCTTTTCTTGTTCTCGAAGTTTCTGCAATGTTGGTTACTGGTGGAGTTTGTCTTACAAGTATGTGTATGTCAACACAGAGTAGTTACTTTGTTAATTTTTGTGCAATTTAAACTGCTGATAGAAACCAAAATTCTTAATGCAGGAGTACTAACTGATCCACTTGCTCCTTCTTCATTTGGGTTATGGATTAATTATGTTGGTAAAAATCACATTGGTGCAATATCATTTCTTATTGCCGATTTTTTCCTCTTCTTCGGAGTGTTTGCCTTGACAGTTGTTCAGGCTAGTCAGGTATGTCTTACAATAAGCCTTTCGATGTTTAAAAAATTTCATTTCTTCTGATCTGACTTATGTCTTTTGTGCTTTTTGTTTTCCGTTATTTTCTTTTCTTAGATATCACGCAATATTACAACAAACGAAATGGCAAATGCAATGCGGTATAGCTACCTCAGAGGTCCAGGTGGTAGATTCAGAAACCCGTATGATCACGGCATCAAGAAGAACTGTTCTGATTTCTTGATCAATGGATACAATGAAGACTTGGAGTGTCTTGAAGAATCAAGCAACTCAGAGGAGGGTATAGGAATGATGCACATGACAAGAAGCTCAAACATAACAAACGGAGAGCCACATTCTCATTCTGATTACGCAAAGGGCAATGGAAATAGTCATGTTGTTATTAATGTGAATTCAAACAGTAGCAACTCAAAAACACATCATGGGCATAGTAATGGTCATGTTCATTCTTCACATTGTAGTCATAGTAACCAAGGCAAAACCAGAAATGACAGCATTCCTGCCGGCTTAGGCCTTGGCCTTGGACGGAACACCAGATCTGTTTCACCCCCATCGTGATGATGTCATGGCTGGTTGTACCTAACTGTAATGTATCATAGGCAAGCTTATTGTTAGATTACGTTGATTCAATTTATTGTGGCTCTTTCCTACCATTACCCATTGTGTGCCATTTTCTGTATATGTATATTCTCTTCTCTGGCCTGTGATTTTCTTCCTTCTATTATAATACTTCCACCTTCCTATAGAAAGTAAATCTAGTTAAGTAATTTACACAAAGATGTGTATAAATGGGAATTTTTTTAATCAAAATATTGTTAATATGTATTGTTGTGTTAACATTTACTATAATTGCAAAGTGAAATATATATTCAGATGAGAGTGACATAAGTAATTAGTTAGATGATACAATTAAGTAGCTATAGTCAACATTAAATTGAAAATTGAAATTAATCAATAATTAAAAAAAAAAACTACTTTTAACAAAGAAATCATTTATGTTGAGAATGAGTGAGTGACTAATTTGAGCTTTCATTACAAGAAAAACTATAAGAAATGAGTTGCTTGGATATCTTTAAAAGTTGTAAAATCGTCCTTGGAGGTCTTTATAAGTCGGGTATATCTAATTTTGGGCAATTTTTCATTGCATCCTTGCATTATGAGTGTACCTCTGAAAATTCGAAAATATCTCTGGGTGAATCTGGAGATATATCTCCGAACATATCAAATACTAAATTTTGTTTAAATTTAGTTCGGTGATGCATCTCTAAAGTCAATTTTTCATATGAAGAATTTTTTTTAACAACTCAATGATATTTTTGGAGATGTATATCCGAAAATATCCAACAGAAATTTGAATATATGAGCACTGTTCACCGTGTTTTCTGGCAAACAACCGCTAATCTTTTAAAAAGGGTAATTTTTTTGTTACTCGCAGGATCAATCAGTTTGATCCTAGGACATATGCTAATTTTTGATGTTGTTTGGACATAAATGCTAATGTGGGTGAAGAACGCACGCTCGACTGGGAAAGAGATGAGTTTGAGTGTAGAAAGTAAATAGAAAAAAAGGGATTGAGGAGAGTTTAGGCGCAGGAATCTGGGTAAAAGTGCAGATAAAGTGCAAATAAGATAAAAAGGCAAGAAATGTAAAGAGAGAAGTAAAATATTTTGATGGTAAAATGTGGTGTTTCAAACGTACATTTTTCAGTATTCTTTCTCACAGCGGGTACTTGAATAATATTGAATAATTTGTACGATCATTTGAACACACAGAAATCTACATAAACTTTCTACATTTATACTAAAATTAGGTAACCGTCGAGGAGTTGCCTTGCTCTAGGATGAAGACAAGTGTCTTCTGCATGCGCTTCGACCCCTCTCTTCATGCCACATTGCTTTCCTCAACTGCCAATCGAACTGCTTTTCCCTCCTTTCTTCAAATTCAAAATCTTCTGGTGCAGATACGAAGTTTCCTTCTAGTCGAAGACCTTGGGGTCCCTTCAGTCGAAGGGATCGAGAACCTTTTTTTCTCCGAAGACTCATTTTAACTTAGAATTTCTCTAAGTACTTTTCTACTTTGTCGAAGCCTTTCCAACTTTAGATTTGTTCAATCTATTTTTGGCCCATAAGACTAACTTGTTGTAGGTGTCAAATTTAGGAGCTAACAAATTGCCCCCCAAGAATATCAGTTTCGACGCAAGGAGAGATGATTATTCTTTGAGATTCCCATTCGATATTTATCTTCTCTTTGACCACAGAAATTGCTTGTGTGCTTTTCGCCTTCTACCAACCCCTGCTGGCATTCAGAGTCATCATTATCTTTTTTCCAACACATCGCTGTCAATCAACCGTTACCCCGCTGCCATGATGGTCATTATCCCTACAACCTAGGAAACTATGGCAAACATTTTCATTACTCGTACGATAACCGCTTTAACGCTCGCCACGTGCCCCACTAACTCTGCAGCATTAAATAATCTTGGGGAAAAACACTCCTTCTCGAACACTATAAATAGACGAATCCTCTTTTGGGAATTCTTTTACAACTCCTAGTATTCTTCACTTTCTTGCAAAGAAAAAAACTTAACAACTTCATCTTCTTCGCTCTTTCACTACTACTTTCAGCCATGAATTTCCTTTCCAATGCACCCAACAATCCAAAAACTAAGAACGTTTCTGATCTCCAAAGACAACCAGAGGTTTTCTCCACTAACCCTGTACCTGTTTCAACTGGGGAACGAAGGGTCGTATTTGAACCCATGGCCAAAGAGTGGCGTGATGCTTATGACTCCCAGTTGCTTATCCCTGTTAGGTATTCTGGGCAGATGTATGCTATGTCTTGCCCATTGTCTACATATTTTGAGAACCCAAAACAAAATAACAACTTCTTCCCAACTCACCCTAGGCTCAAGCCTATAGGTTGTGCGAAGAAACTCAGGAATGATCTTGAAGATGCAACTCCTACCAATCAACAACATCCTCAAACGAAGGAAGATACCAACCTTCAGTTTATGAACAAGGGCAATAGTATCTTTTGATCTTGCCCTAGTCTTACTTCAGAATACTCATAATGGCTGAGCAAGATGGGAAAAGTACAACCCCAAATCTGGAAAGATATGGGGATCTATGACTTGATCATGTTGCCGAAGACTTGGCTAGCTTATTTCCCTCTCATGCTGGTGTCTTCATTGTATTTCTGGGACAACACACATTTTGCCTTCCATTTGCCTTGTGGAATGGTAACTCCAACTCTCTTCGATATAGCCGCCATTACTGGTCTTCGACCAACGGGTGAGTACTTCGACCCTGAGGACCTGTTTGAAGATCCTATCAGGTTTTCGGCCATGAAGCCCATGTATACCATATTCATCAATCATTTCCACGACAAATCGAGTACCACTGTCTCTGAAGTGGGGCACATAGATTTTCTGGCTTTGTGGTTATCTCGTTTTGTTTTTTGTACCAAGTCACTTCAAGTGACTAAGAAAATGCTTACTCTTGCAACACAGCTTCACCATGGTTATCCTCTCTGTCTGGCTGAGTTAATTCTAGCCAACCTGTATGAGTCTATCAGCAATGGTGTGACTCAACTTAAGGTTATTTGAGACAAGGCGAGTTTACTCCTTTTCGACCCCTTTTGGCTTATGCAAATTTGGCTAAATGCCACTTTTGAATCTTTTCTTTCGCAGAAGAATAAGATTAACGATAGGGCTCCAAAGGTCCTGAATAGGAGGGTCGAAGGGACTAGACTAGTCCTGTTGACTCCAACTGACGAAGGTCAACAATTCCAAAAGGAGTTTACCAGCTTTGTAATGATGTTTGCAAAGCAGAAGTAATTTGTTTCAACCATGGCTCCCTTTGCTAATAGAAAGGTTGGGCCAGAATGGTTCATTCGACCATATCCTTCGTCTGACGAAGATGACCATATGGATGAATATGTAGCTATCTAGGAGTCGTTTCTTCGACCAAGAATCATGCCTCTGAGATTCAAGAGTTCTAAGAATCAACTTAGTTTAATTTCTTATCAACCGAATCTTATCTCTCAGAAATTTGGTATTATCTAGACCCCTTCACCAATATACTCTCGAGAAAAGCTTTTGATGTTTTACAATGCAGACTACTCAGGATGCTGCTACCAAGCATATTGGTAGGTACATTGGTCGAATCGTACTAACGCTGTTCGACTTCAATCTCAATTTCCTGTGTTTGCCTCTTTTTGAGAACTGGTGGAAGCAGTATTATAACGAAGAATTTTTTGACGAAAAAGACTTCGCTGCTCACCTTCAAGAGGCGTTTTTGCTAGTCTCTAACAAGATAAAAAAGAGTAATCTTATTTCTCAAAGCAAATGTATTTATCGTCTTCAATCTAATCGTTCGACATCTAATTTATCCTTGTTTATTTTCTAGCGGTCAAGAGGACCGTCACTAAGAAAGTCGCTGAAAGCGCAAAAGGAGGAGACCCTTCTGTGAAACCTTCACCCAAGGTAAACACTTTCTACTGTTATGTCTTTCTTTCCAACATATTACTTTTGAAGCTAATTGTGATGCGGTGGGAGAACTGACTTGAGGTTTTGCGTTTGTGTTTGCAAATATTGCGATTTAGCAAGAGTCGCCACCGACTTTTATTTTATCCAAAAGGAAAGGTAAAAAAGCACAGGAAAGACCTTTGAGATTGTTTTTGGGTTCGGGGGGTAGATTATGAAAAGGGAAGGTGCTAGCACCCTATTCATCCATGGTTTTGCATGTGCTCTTAGTTACTTATTTTAGATCACTTACTTTGCTTTTTAAATTGTTTGAAATGGTGCTTTGTGTGGTTTTGAAAGAATTTTGAAAAGAGACCTTTGTTTAGGAAATCTTTGTAATGATTCTTGTTTGTAATAATGTATACAAAGATGTTTGTCTTTTGAAAAATATTTCAATTTTTGAAAGTTGTTTGGAAATTATTTTGAAATGTGTGTGTTTGTTTGAAAATAGCAAGGATTGTTTTGCAAATTTGATCAAGTAACTAGAAGCATCTACCTACTCAAAAGTCTTTTCTATACATTCTTATTCCTTTGACATTGTTAACCTACCATTATTTTGGTAGATAAACCTATCTTTGGATGTTAAACGGGACGGGCGTGGGTCATCGTATGACTATGATAACAATATTGCCAAGCATCTTAGCAAGTTTTTAGGGACTTAAGATCATTTGTTTTAGGCAACTTGTCTAGCGCCATCGAGGGACTATGATCTTTTTGTTGTGTTTTGTTTTGCCAAGATACCTAGCATGCATACCATGGCCATGTTTTAAAGCAACCAAGTGGGTGAAACCCTAAGGGTGCTTGTGTGCAAGGTGTTGTCATTTTTCATGCATTTTTGTCTTGTATTAGGTCATGCTATTTGTTTGATTTTGTCTTATCATACAAACCCTAATTTACTAAACATGCATATAATGCGATAAATTGTGTAAAGTAAATATAAACTATTACAACAATATTATGGGAAGGGGAATACAAGTTTGAAATGGGGATATTTGCACAAAATAAAATCCTAATTTACTATTACAACTCAATTGAA